GAACTTACTAATACTAAAAGCCATTAAAAGGTTTTTAATCTTTAAGATGAAATGGTGTAATCAAGCAAGACCGTATTAATGAGAATTTACACGAATTTGAGAATTTAACGACTGTGCGGTTCTGTTATAATAATGAATTACAAATTAATGGTTTTTTTAATGAAGAATTTCATATAGATTAAAGAGGAAAAAAGTTAAATGATGAATTTAATTGATGTGACACTGCTTGAAAAATAAATATTCACTGGATTGAATCAATCTTCTAATCCGTATTTTCAAATTGAAGACGTATACACAAAATAACGTAACATAGATTTAAAAAGTCAACAACTAAAATACATGTTAACAAAAACAACAAACTGGGCCAAAGCGCGCGCAGGTGCCCCTTATGCAGAGAAAGGTCGGTTGCTCAATTTTTCTCACATAACAGAAGTCTGTCAGGCCTCGGCTCCTTATATAGAGCGTGTAGAAATGCCGGCGAATTTAAAATTGGCCACAGTATTGGGTTTCTGAACTGTTTCGCTTTTTTGTACGACATGGGTTTTGTTTGAGTGTATTTATTAGTGGTGAGGTGGTGAAAAATGGTGGCATCGTCGCCCCTCCAGCAATGCGTTTGTTTTCAGGCTCATGGTGGAATAGAAAAATACCCCGTCGATCTTAATTTAGATTTGATTATTAATATTGCGTGTAGGTCGATGGAGGAATATCGACCACTCCACCGACTAATGAGAATGAGTATTTTAGAAGTTAATTAGTTTTACGCTGGATTATATTTTCCGTTGGGGCTAAAATGACCAATCTAAAGTCCCCGATGGTTGGGAAGCGACGACCTCTTGGGCACTTTTCTTAAGGGGTGTACTAAGGACCCAGCCGACAGTACAGGTGAACTCATCCGAAGGTGACCCTAACGTCAGCACATCGGGGAGTGATAACCCACAAGATGAAAGACCAACAAAATAGAGTTAAATGTGTAAAAAATGATACAAAAGAATAAAAAACCAACCGGCAGTTAATTAAACATTTATTTTTGACTGCAACTAGGAACTTTCTGAGGCGCAAAATAGAACACGGAAGCCAGAAAACGGGAGTCACTGGAGTAAAACTTATCTACTGATAACGAGCAGGCCCGATAGATATCTTTATCTTTTTTTTTTTTCTCGAAAATGTGATTCCTATTCCCTTACTCGTTATGAATTTTGTTACATGGAATGGGGTAATTTCGTGACTTATTATTTTCAAATTTACACCTTTCGTGTACGACATACATTAATAATTTTTAAAACTTTTTATTGCTAATATTTCATTACTGTTCTGTATCAAAACGTTGCAGGAATTAAATAAAATTTGCTGGAAGAAATGCTCAAACAATTATAATTAGTTTTAGTTTAGTTCGTACAATGTCTTTATCAAAAGAAATACAATTTTTATTGGTTTATGTTTGAAAATAGTAAGTAGACAAAGTGATTACATTACTTATTTACATTAATACGGACGTTTCGGGAATTTGCACTCATCATCAGAATCTATAGATTTTTTTAATAAAAAAAACTAAGGATAACAATGATATTTATATTTTACATTTTATTACAAAATTTTGTTATTTTTAATAAAAAAGTAACATTAATTATTTACATTTATATGGATGTTCCGATAATTTACACCCATCATCAGATTGTAACCTTTTTTTAAAATACTAAGCTTTGTAATAAAATGTAAAATTACAAAATACGTATTTTAATGTAAACCAAATTAAACAAGATCATTCATGAGTTTTAACCAAAATCATGTAATTTCCATCTTTTTAAAAGAAAATTAAACAAAACATCGGAAAATATTTTTCTGGTGTTTATTCTATTTACTAGGACTTACAATTTATTCTAGTAGAAAATCATTTTCCCATGTGTTGGTGAATTTTCTTTGGAGCCATCATAATTAATTAAATATTTTTTGTTAAAACTTGAATTCCTGAACTCAATCAATTTGGTTCATATTAAAATAAATATTTTGCAATTAATATATCGATAAAAATACATATAAAATATTGTTTGAAATAAACAATAACATTCGTGTTCTAACAAATAATTAAACTTTTATTATTTACTATCATCATATTATTTAATATTACTATCATACAAAATTTTGGATAATAATAAATTATAAATTTAATACAATATAAGATAAGCTTTTTTCATATGTCAAATATGAATATCATTGGTATACTTGTCTTTTAAAAAGAGTTACACGCTGATGATGGGCGTAAATTCCCGGAACATAAATGTAAATAATTAATGTTACTTTTTTATTAAAAAACCCACGTGGAATTTTTTTCTAACATAAACCAAAATATTAAAATGAGACGAATTAGTTTTAAAAATTTCACGTTTTAAATAAAACACGTAAGAAAAAAAATTCCTAAAAAAAATTGATTGATAACATCTTCGCTCGTGACACTGATTTTTTTTAAATCTTACTCAACGCCTGAATTAACTGAAATTAAATAAAAAGATTCGTACGCAGTGTTTACTTCTCAATTTAAACCGTTGTGCAATTGTTCGAGAAAATGCACTGATTAAAAGGGGCGATAATTAATCATAATCGGCGATAAAATAATCAGATGATTTATATTCGCGATTTTCCGTCAAAATATAGTTGTGGAAACTTTAAAAACATTTAAACTGAACATTCTTGCTAATATTAGTTAGTTTATGTGAGATTTAAAAAAACATTGTTGGCTTCTTAATTGTTATTTTACGAGTGTTTATTTAATTTGAAATGTTCACGTCTTCTTCTGATGTGAAATAATGAATAAAACTTTTATTTTCTATTCAAGTTAGTATTGCATAAGAAAATGGAAAAAAATAATAATCGACATCCGATTCCTTGGGATTTAATTGAAGACACCCTTTAAAGAAAAAGAAAACGTGAAATAAGTCGCCTTGGGGGAAGGCAAAAAGTATATTGTTTATTAACGAACTGGAAGCCAAGAGAACGCGGTATGACAGACTTGTCAAGAAAGGTCAATTTTTATAGTCTGGATATCTATACAACACCGTATTGACCTTGGACACGAGGATCAATTTAATTATGAAGCGTTTCGAACTCAGAGATATAAGAATATCAGGCTGTGAAGTATCACAATAGGAAAAGTTTACTAAATACCCTCAAAGACAAAAAAATCGAACACACGAACTTTATTGTTTATTTCAAACAGTATTACATATGTATTTTTATCGTTATATTAATTAAAAAATATTAATTTGAATATAAGCCAAATTGAATGAGTTCAGGAATTCATGGATTAAAAAAAAAATTATTTAATTAATTATGATGGTTCCAAAGAAATTTCACCAACACATGGGAAAATCATTTACTAATAGAATAAATTATAAGTAAGTCCTAGTAAGTAGAATAAAAATCAGTAAACGATTTTCCGATGTTTTGTTTAATTTTTTTTTTAAACATCAAAATTACATAATTTTGGTTAAAACTCATGAATATCTGATCTTCTTTAATTTGGTTTACATTAAAATACGTATTTTGTAATTAATGTAACGATAAAAATACATAAAGTTAAAAAAATACGAGTGTCGGATTTTTTCCTTGAGTATATGTAGTATTTCCAAGTCTATTTGAAGTTTTTCCAAGTCAAAACTCTTACCAAGTCAAATGAACCCTAGCTATATGAGATGAAACCCTTCCAACCTCTACAACACAATTGTTACCTTAGAAAGGGCCATATTTCACCTGGAAAGGTTTACATTTGACTTAGAAAGGGCTACATTTACTTTTGACCTTGAATGTTAAATTTGACTTGGAAAGGGCTACATTTGACTTGGAAAAATTTACTTTTGACGTGGAAAGTGAAATTTGACTTGCAGAGGGCTACATTTGACTTAGAAAGTGCTACATTTAAATTGGAAAAATTTACTTTTGACATGGAAAGTTAAATTTGACTTGCAGAAGGCTACATTTGACTTCGAAATGGCTATATTTCACACGGAGAAATTTACTTTTGACATGGGAAGATAAATTTGAGTTACATTTGACTTAGAAAAAAATTACATTTGACTTAAAAAGGGCCAAATTCCACTTGGAAAAAATTACATTTAACCTAAAAAGGGATACATTTCACTTGGAAACAATTACAGTTGTCTTAGAAAGGGCCATATTTCATCTGGAAAGGTTTACATTTGACTTAGAAAGGGCTACATTTACTTTTGACCTTGAATGTTAAATTTGACTTGGAAAGGGCTACATTTGACTTGGAAAGATTTACTTTTGACCTGGAATGTTAAATTGGAAACATTTGACTCGGAAAGATTTACTATTGACATAGGAAGTCAAAATTTAAGTGGAAGGGGCTACATTTGATCTGAAAAAGGTTACATTTGGCTTTGGAAAGGTTCAAATAGACTTAGAATTACTATATGTATATTGGAAATAATGTTAAATTGTTTTGGTGGGTTTTGTTAAAAAACATATTTTTTATGTATATTTCGTACGATTACCACATAACTAACAAAAGCATAACTTTTTTTTATAAATGATATAATCATACGTTATTATATGAATGATGATTTAAAACAAAACTTTCGCAAGACGAAATGGAATTCATGTCGGTTACTTCTTTTTAGTTTTTTGACAAAAAAAAATGTATTAATAGTTTACCTTACAAAGATGACTTTTTTGTGTTGTTAAGAAAAGTTTTTGAAGGCAACGAAAAGTAAACTACAAGATCTTAAAACAAAAGTAAACTTTTGAAGAAAAAATATTAAAAACAAAGTTAACTGAAATACAATTCCAAATACTATTATTTTCTAGATTATAGCAAAACCGAGCGTATTTCAAAAACTGAATTATTTTTAAGCCTCTTATTTTAGAAAGACAACTATATGGATCGGAATATGGTTTAAATATTACAAAATTGTTCTTGACATAATTGTCGAAAACCGAAAAACTAGTGAATTTAAAAAAATATATAAAATAACGCCTCGGTCTACCTTTATGAAAATATCCACTTGAAACTTGAAGTTTGATATCTGAGAAGCTGATGTTGACCGAAGCGGGCTGGATCGGCGGTAACATGACGGTCCTCTGTTCGAACTTCGCCATGGCGTTCTGCTGTATACAGGTTCGCGGCAGGACTGAACGAAATGCGATTCCAGAAACGAGCGACCCTGTCCACCGTCGACCCCACCACAACGGCCTCGCCGCGGTGGAAACTCCTACCCTCTTTACCCTGTCAACAAGTCATTTCTAAATAATCCGGCCGTATTTTATGACGAACCTATCCGATTGAGTATGCGCCACGATAAATTTACCAAACGGTGTACCAAAACTTTGGATGGGCTATAACAGCCACACTACACCCCATAAAACGTATGACCAGACATCCCATCCATATACCACACAATCTTGAATGAATTAAAAAAGAACTTTACATGGAAAAAGAAAATACATACATAATAGTAAATAAAACTTTGGAAGTAAAATGAACAGCATTGATTATAAAACCGTCTTCTGGAAATCTTTATAATCAGCCCTTTTCTCAAAATAAAAGTTGTGACTTCTGCAACACCCAAAAAACTTGCTTTGATTTAAAAAAAATATTCGAAGTAGTAAAAAACTTTCAAGGGTGTATTTTTATTTGGAAAACTTTGATCAAATATGAAGTATTAACAATATTAGCTTTTTAGGTCTTCTTCCGTCAAAGTATATAACTTACTATATAATATATGTAGTAAGTATATTAACGATATTTTTAATATTTTATAAGGTGTTGGTTGAGATAAAAAAGTCAGTGTCACGAACGGGATTCGAACCCACGACCCTCAGCTTACGCGGCGTATTTAGCTAACTTCGATCCACTCGGACACTAACTCCCACTCAACCCAACCTTTCGAATTTTCCCCTCCTTTTTACCATTTTTCAAAATTAGAGGTCACGATAGCTCATGTGGTAGAGCAACGGCGTATTTAGCCGAGGGGTCGCGAGTTCGAATCCCGCTCGTGACACTGAATTTTTTATCTCAATCAATAACTTATATAAACATTAATTAATTGAAAAACGTTATTCGGTCAATCGGACCTCGAACTCTGATGAATTTCATATTTTTAATTATACAATGTCAGGCAAAAAATTTCATCCACTTGATTTGTGTATATTTTTTAATAATATTTTTTAATACATACATATTTTCATATATAAATCAAAATTTCACGTTTTTTTACTTGTTTAAAAAGTTAAACAAATGTAAATTGCTAAGGAAAATTAAATTGAAAAAAAGGGACAAAATTTGTTTTAAGATTTACCATTTCAATTTCGCGTATTTCTTCCTCTTGCCATAATTACATCTCGAAGACACCTCGGCATACTTTTCTACCAGTCTGGAAATGTCTCTTTGCTGGAGGTTAGCCCAGTCTTCACGAAGAGTCCTTTCAAGATCGTAGAGTGCATCAGGAAGTGATGGACGTGATCTTTTGAGGTTATCCCATGTTCGATGGGGTTCAAGTCGGGAGAACAGGCTGGCCAGGCCAAGACCCTGGATGGTATGCTGTTGAAGGTTGGTACTATGCGAGCGACATGCGGACGAGCATTATCATGCAGAGAATAGGATTGTCGCTGATGTAATTGACCATAGGCAACGCATGTGCCAAAATTTCATCCGCATAGCGACCTGCCGTCAAAGACCCTCGATGAACGACTACCAACTCTGTGCGACTCTCCGTTGAAATGTGGACATGTCGAACGTCCTGGAGCTGATGAATCTTGATCTTGATCTTGAACAACAGTAAGGTGCGGGTTGGCAAAATTCTCAAAGTCAAAAAACGGTCATCCTGTGGTTCTGTTACCCTAGGGCGTCCAGAGCCTTCTATGGTAGGACCCAGTTTCTCGAAAACGCCTAACCTATGGCAATAGCCTCGTACCTGATGGAACGTCCACCATCAATAAATGCCTCACCACGTACAACATCCTCAGCACAAAGTGGCATGTTTAAGTTTAAAAATTGAAATTATGAAAACTAAACAGTTTATTGCTTCCGGATTCAAATGAGACAGAATAAACAATTTAAATTACCTAAAAATTAAACATTGAAAAATTCTTTATCCTTGTTTTGGATTAAGGATTAAATGTGTTTACCTTTTTTTATATTCCCAATTTAAAACATAGCATAAACAAATATTTATTGGAAAATAGAGACAATTACTGTCAGAACAAGTACTTAATACTGGCAAGATTTACACACAAAAAAATACACGTTAACTATTACTGTATTTAAAATACAAATATAATTAATTATTTGAGAGCAACAACAAACAAAATGTTTATACTTCGCAGATTATAACCTTAAATCACTTATTGGGGATATGCCAGACCATTCACGCTAATAAATTTCATCAACATATACATTCACTCTATCCCAGAGTACTTTGATATTCCTCGGGGCAATTGGGATGAACCTCTCCATTCACGCTAATAAATTACTTCCATACATACCATCACTCTACCCTAGAGTACATCGATATTCCTGGTGTAATTGGGAATACACCCTTCCATTCTCGCTAATAAATTATATCTAAACATACATTCACTCTACCCCAAAGTACTTTGCTATTCTTCGAGGCAATTGGGATAAACATCTCCATTCACGCTAATAAATTACATTTAAACATACATTCATTCTACCCCAAAGTACTTCGCTATTCTTCGAGGCAATTGGGATAAACATCTCCATTCACGCTAATAAATTACTTTCACACATACAATCACTCTACCCCAGAGTACATCGATATTCCTGGTGTAATTTGGAATAAACTCTTCCATTCTCGCTAATAAATTACATGTACACAGCACAAATCGTTCACATTACCCCAGAGGGGGATAAGCCCTTCCATTCTCGCAAATAGATACATTTGTTCCAATAAATAACATACATTACATACATGAAAATACTAAGATACTAACATTTATACACAATTAAAAATATTTATGGCGCTGAGATATCATTTTAAAAAACAAACAAATTTTTTAATAACTAAACTTAAATTACAGATTTCCAAAATTTCATAAATATTTTAAATGAAACTATGTATAATATTATTACCGAATCTGCAGACTTCAGGTCTTTTATGTAAATATTTTTTAAGAGAGAATCTTATCACAGGCAAGATTGTATCTATTGATTAAATTGATTAAATATTGATTGATTTGTTTGCCAGTTTAGAAGGACTTGTATATTTGTTTCAAATGCCGGTGTACATTTCGTAAGACTTCTACATGTCTTCTTGTAATGATTTGTTTAATAATTGATTTTACAATGTCTATTAATGGTTCTTAATTTATGTAATATGTGTATGCTCATTTTTACCAAGTTCCGCTCAATTACCTTAGATTTGGTCTTCTCCTGGGCTAGATGATGTTACCTATTTTTTTTTTTTAGCAAATGTTGAATGTTATTAGTCTACTCTTAAATTTGTTGTGGTAATTTATTAAATGATCTTACTTGCATTGAAATATCTTAAGAGATAGATATGACTTTTTTTTTCTTTTATGTTCGTAGGTATCAATCGATCAATCGCCATGTCATCATTGGCAGTTTTGCTCTGATCAAATATGCTAGATCGTCGAGAATCTCAGGCAATATCTGTGTACCGCTTGTGTAGTTGGTGTGCTGTATTGAATGCACTTCCAACATATATTTTCTTTGTTTGTAATGCAATTGTTTGAATGGGGTATGGTTTTTCTTTTCCAGAAGAAAGGAGGTTAGTCTTCGTCTTAGAATTTTAATTTTAACCAACTAGGATTTTGAAAGTCGGTTGTTTGTGTTGTTTTAGGTAACTTCAAATATCTGTTCATAGTTGTATATTTCAGCTGTACCTGGGTGGATATTATATTAAAAAAAAATCGTTCCTTGTACTATTTGAGGTGAAAATTTCTTCAGATTTTCGTCTGAACCTTTCTGGAGGTCGTCAGGTGATATTTTTGGCACCCCCGTTGGAATTGCGAAAAATATTTGTTTACGTGTACCGTTGTTGTTGACAACGCAGTCTTTTTTGAACCGTGGAGTTGATTTTCCGCTGCGCTCTGCCTATCAAAGAAAATCTTTGGGCAAACCTCAAGAATATTGGGTTTCATTTGGTTATTACTGATTACAGTTATTTTTTGACACTTGGTTGATTTTATTTTAAACGAGTTATCAGTACTATTCATTTATTATTCCAAACTGAGAATAAATGATCAGTTTGGTCGGGAGATTCTGCTATGTGGCAGATTTTGTTGACAGATTTAACATTTAATAGTTAAAAGATTATACCCTAACATCACCTCTTAACATGAACTCTGAACTGGTAAATGACCTACATTAATGGTTTTGGGGAAATGAATTAACCTTGAATAAAGATAAGGCAAGTGGCCATGGGTTATAGACATGTGACATTGGTGCCTATCAACAAGGAAGCGCCTCATTCCTGACTGTGTTGACCCAAATTTTGAGTTTATGCAAAAATTGCCCAGCTCCTTGCTTCTTACGTCTCGTGAGAGAGCATCCGGAAAGCCCTTGTGACTGTTTCCATTGTGACTTGAGTTGGGTGTTATGCACCGGCTAGGTTGGTTTCTGGCATTCAGGAAAGCTTGATTGTAATAATGCGTTTATTTTGAGCACGACGTGTCTTCGTAATAAGCTGCCTAATTAACATACTTTCCATATTACCAAAAGTGAATAAAACAACATTTTACACGGTCTAGTGATGATGATGAGTCAAGTACAATAGAATAAAGACTACTCAAAAATGTAATTACTGGATGGCAAAAGTTTACAACGTCGCTCCTCCATATAAAAATTATGAAATTGTCATGTGGCGGAATTTCTAGAATGTCGAAACGAAAATAGTAAACGGCCAAATTAAAATGTGACTCCCAAATACCATAATTTCACAAATAGTCCAGTTATCGATTTATAATAGTAGAAAACTATTTTCTCGCTGATTATTTTTAGTCAGAATAAATGTGATTTGGAAATATGTTTGTGGTATAACTGAAATGTTATGAATAGATTTAAAAAAATCTGTAATAAACGTTTTTTTAAATTTATAAGAAATAAGATAAAATATTTATCTTATCGTGTTTATTACGTTGATATATTTTGTTTAATATAATTTTTAT